AGTGAGATGAGAAGCCAGGCTATTTCAGAGGCCGGGGATTGTCTGAAAGGACACTGGGGTGTCAAGAGACAGAAGTGACCGTGCATGGTTCCACCGCTGCTCATCACACCTGCCTTCATCCACAGCAGCCCTGTTATATTTAGTCCACAGCTGCTAGCTCTGTACTTTAACCGGGAGAGACGCAAAATCATCGGGCAACACCACAGTGCCCGCAAGCTCCGAAGACAGAGGATTCCACTCGCTTGTCTGTTACATTACCACCGCACCGTGCCAAGAAGCGGGTAAAAGTGCTCCCCAAACACACAGCCGAGAGCAAACCCATGTGTTACAGAGAGGTGAATCTCTTATCAGAGTGCTGGGCTCCACCAGCTGTTAGGCTAAGGACCAGTTCCAACTGCGGTCTCCAACACTCTGCATTGATCATGCACCCCCGGCTGTGCGCTAGGCTTCCAAGACCTAGTTCAAAGGCAGAGGATTTTAAATTTTTAATTACTTTTCAGTTCTCCAGAAAGTCAGAGCGATGCAGTCAATGATCTTGGTCACTTACTACACTAGGCTGAAACAAGCTGTTACCTCTGGGAACTTCCGTGTGAGGAGGAGAACATTCACAGCTGAGGGTAAATGAGACAGAAAGCGAGAACCTGGCTTGCTTTGTTACTAGATGAGTAGAGCAGAACTTCCCAGGCCTGAGGATCCTAGCTCCAGAGAGACTTATGAGGGAAGCGTTCGAGAACACGGGCCCCAAAGCCAGGGAGCCGCCTAGGTTCAAATCCTGCCTTGGGCAACTTAATCTCTACACGTCACAGAGTGGCAGTTCTCAACCTCTGAGTCGAGAGCCCTTTGGGGGTGGGGAGGTAGAACAGTCCTTCATTGGGCTTGCATATCAGACATCCTGCATATCAGATATTTACATTACAGTTCATAACAGCAGCAAAATTACAGCTATGAAGTAATAACAAAAATATTGTTATGGTTGGGGGTGACCACCACATGAGGAGCTGTATTAAAGGGGCGCAGCATGGGAAGGGTGAGAACCAGTGTCAGAGCCTAGGACGCCTCCCAGAACTGCTGGGAGACCAATGAATTAACATCCGATCCTATTGGCTGGTCCCTAAACTGGTCCTGCTCCGCTGACTGACTGCTGAGCCTAAAGGGAGAGTCCAGCCCTGCTTCAGCTTTCCTTAACTCTGCTTAATCAACGGTGTTCTTGCCTCATGGCTCCAGACATGTCTCCTACGACAACCCTGAGTGGAGAGTGCCAATTTCTACGGCAGCCATAGCCCTGCGAATGGGTAGATAATACGTTTATCAGAAGTCGCACCCCAAATGGGGAAACAGTCTGAAAGGCAAAGCGCACTTTTCTGACGCACTCGCCTCTTCCCATTCATCTTTCGAGGCATGAAATCCTTATTTCAACAGTTCCCACTAAAATACATGAACCCGAAAGCCCATTAAAACCCATTCATTCATAATTTTCAAATCAGTTATAAAACCATGAGAGTTTTTTAATGAAAGAAAATGTCTTATTTTAAACATGCATATGTTAAACTAGAGAAAAGAGCTTGGTAAACTGTTCTGAAATCAACAAAGAGAGAGTAATGAGTAAGTTAAAAGTAGTCCTATTCAAAATTACGCACATCCAAGGGGAAGATCACTGTGTAACCGATTTAGGGGGTTAAAAATGACTTGTCTGGCTGGAAAGATGGCTTGGCACTTACGAGCACAGGTTGCTCTACCAGAGGACCCGGGTTTGATTCCCAGCATCCACAAGGCAGTCCCCAGAGATCCAAAGCCGCCTTCTACAACTTCTAGAAATCTGCAGACACTGAACAACATGCATGCAGGCAGATTATCCATACACATAAAATAAAAATAAAGGTTAATTTAAAAAAAATGTCAAAATGTTCAACTTCAAATGACAACATATGCCTTAAAATTACTTTTCTGCCAGGCAGTGGTAGCACACGCCTTGACTCCTAACACTCAGGAGGCAGAGGCAGGCAGATCTTTAAGTACGAGGCCAGCCTGGTCTACAGAGCTAGTTCCAGGACAGGTTCTAAAGTTAAAAAAAAAAAATTTAAGTTTGTTCATAAAACTGGAAGAAAATGAACCCAGATGTAATTTCTTCAAGGCTTTTAGTTTTTGTATGTCCTTGTTTAATAACAAATGTGTGTCTCTGGTGTGTGTATAACCCCCCCCCACTATATATATATAACTTTCATAATATGAAAAAGTAAAACTATACTTTGATTTAGCTATTTAGACAGCTTCCACATTTTTACTTACTACTTGAAGACTAGCAAATAATCCATAAAAAGAATGAACCCAGGCTCATATGTGAACCCAGCCACTGGTTTTGAAATCTCAGATTTAGGACATAGGACATATATTGCTGTCCGGCAGCCCCCCCCCCCCATCCTAAGGGAATCCAGGCCTCACATACCTCCAGGTGAAAGTGACATCCCTCCCAGGCAGTCGGGAACAAGAAAAGGACCACTTGATTGCAACCCTCAGGCCTCCTCACCTTGCTTCCACGAAGGCTACAACTGCCTCTGACAGCTAAGAAATCATAAGCAGCAGGACAAAGCAGAAGAATCCGCACATCTCGTTCATGAGATAGTTTTCTGTCCCTTGTCCATATTACCTACGCCCCAGGATCACACAAACTAAAATTTCTTCGGCGTTGACATCCAGCACTCTATCATCTCAGAGTACTCTCACAAACACCGGCAAAACTGCCTCTCCTGTCTAGCTCATCCAGTCCAGCTTCGACTTCGCAGGGCTTGCGCTTCTTGAACGTTCTCAGAAGCCCCTCGAAGGACTAGGATGCTGAACCCTCACCTCAAGCACAACGGTTTCAGATTAGCTCTGAGGAGATCCATCCTCCAGGCAACAATGCCAAAGGTACACCATGACCCGAAAGTGTTTGCCCAGTTTGGACCGAAGACCTTCACTGAAAACTCAGGCACCTTAATCTAGCGGGGCCAAACAGTCAGGCTTAATTAAAGAGGCTTTGGGCAACCCCCAGCTGCGAGCTGCCTTAAAGCGAGCGACGGCCGATTACGCTGCATCATATAAATAAGACTGTCCATAAAACATTTCTAAAGGTGTAGCTCAAATAGAATTCAGTCAGAAGAGACGGTGCATGCAAAGAAGCAATGGTGAGCTTACCCAACAAATGAAACTGATCTTACAAACAACATGACCCTCTGAAATGATTGAGTATAAACAGCTAGAACCTACGGTAGTCATCCCACAGCTTAGCAAAAAAAGAAAAAGCCACAGGGAGAAAGACAAAAAACCTCTCCATGTAACTATGTAAATGACAAAACCACCTGATCCTTCCCCAGACCCCTATGCTAAACACAGACCCACACTGCACTTGGTAACCACATCAAACCTCAAAGTGTGCTAAAGGCATTAACGCACCACACTGTGGCACGCTGGTTTGCACTTGATTATTCCTCCCTTAGCTCAGAACATCTAGAGGGAGCTGAAAAAGGACCTGTACGGTATAAATAGACACCCTGCCCCTACCTGCATTTGTCACATGGGATGTGTTAAATGTCAAAACTTGTAAGGCCCAGAGATTTCAGTCAGGTTGTCACGACAATAAAACACGGACAAAATGTAAATAACAGACACAGGAAGGAAATGTGTCCAAACGCTTATAATGGTGGGTGGGGAGGTGAGCTCTGTTTGTATGTTTGTTTTAAGTTCGGCTGTTGAAGAAGAGGTGAGGCGATAAAGTGTGTTGCTATGAGTTTTCCTTCACTAGTCACATGACGTATTTTCACCTCAAGGCAGACTTCACAGATGAACCAGACTTACACCAGAGATTTCTCAGTTGAAACTACAAGAACATCTCCTAAGATCTGGCCCTGTTTGTTTACTGCCCTTATCAGGCCTCACCGTGTTGCTCCAAGCGGTTGGTTCCTTTTGGCTCTTCTGTGTTCTCAAGCCTGCCCATTGCAGACCACGGGTTCAAACTTTTAAGTTTGGGTGGGCTTCGCAGTCACCGACACATGAAGAGAACCAGAACACCTAGAAGCGTTTGGATGTGTTTTGTTTGTTTGGGTTATGCTAATAATTCTCATTGAGATAACTACAGATTACATGTTGAAACGTGTACCAGAAACATAAGCAAATGTCAAGTCCTATAGGGAATACTCACGTCCCAAGAAGCTTAAATGTCTCGGCAAGACATGTTCTTAATGGCCATTCTTAACTAGGTTCCATGACCAAGAGCTTGGGTGGAGTGGAAAGATGGTCTGCAAGCCCTGGCATAACGCACTGATTAGATGGAGCTTCTGTTTCTAGATCTAATCCACGTGTTCTTCCAAGTCCTCTATCAGCATTCGCTGTCTCCGCTTCAAGGTGATAAATACCATTTTTGCTCCCTAATTTGAAAAAAATTTAAAAGCCAGATTGCCTAAAATCAATGACTCCATCACTGCTGTGTGCAGTGGCTGTGGGCGCCCTTCTTGGAGACACCGCGAGAATTTCTACTTATGACATCGGGCTCCGGGCGCTGCCTCTGACCCTCCTCGAACGCTCGGCGCAGGGGCACGTCACAGAGCTGCACCGGGACAGTCCGTCTCCACGCGCGGTGCGAGCGCACCTCACAACCCCTGCCTCAGGGGCACGAGGGATGAGGTGGCGGAGACACCCGGGTCCCCAGCCGGCAGGACCACCTCTCTGCACCTGAGCCGGGCAGGGCTCCGCCACCCCAGCCAGGGACCGGTGCTGCGAGGCGCGCCCCGACTCCGCGGTGCACCAGCCGCGCGCGCACGGCCCGCGGGGAACCCTGCTCGGGCACCGGAAGCGGCGGCCGCCCGGGCGGTCTCGGAGCCTCCCGATGCCGAGGGAAATGAGGCCGCGGAGGCCAGGCCGGAAAAGCGGAACGTCCCGCAGAGCCGCGCGGGGCGGCTCTCCAGGGTCGGCCCGGCTAGGGTCGCCTTGGCCGACACGCGGCCCCTCCTCGTAGCTGGCGCACTCACCTCCTCCGCTGCCCCGGCAGCCCTGTAGGCGGCTGTCACTGCAGTCCACCAACTGCCCCGCGCCGGGTCGCGAGGCTATTTAAGGACTCGCGGCTGCAGCTGCTCTTTTGCCTGCGCCACCGGCGTTGCAGCAGCAGGGCCAGGCGGCTGGTAGTGCGCGTGCCGCGCCGCGCCACCCCGCCCCGCCCCGTCCTCAGGCCCCGCCCCTCCCCATATCCTAGCGCGCCCGCTCCCCCCCACCCCAACCTGCCGGCTCCGCCCCTCTTGTCGCGCAGGTCTAGCCTGTCCTGCCCCCTCAGGCCCGCCGCTCCTCTCAGGCCCCGCCCAACCAGCACCATTCCCGCCTCCTAAGCCCCGCCCTGCTAGCCTGCCCCATCCCCTCAGACCGGCCGCTCCCCTCATGCCCCACCCATCAGCTCCAAGCCTTCCCTTCAGGCCCCGCCTCCTTCTTCGTTCTCTCCACCCCTCAAAACCCGGTCCATCCCCTTCAGGCCCCGCCCAGTCCGGCCGACCCCGCCTCTTAGGCCGCGCAGTAGGCGTGGCCTCTCTCAAGTCCCAGAGCGTGCTTGGTAGTCAGCAAGCAAAAGCCAGGCTATCACCAAACTGGCCCATAGTTTCACGACGAATCTGAGGAAGGGCAAAGGGTAAATCTGTGTCTTAACCCCAAAATATCCTGAACCCCGTTAATGAGATGCTTTGGAATGTTGTAGGCATCTTTTAGCTCTTCCAGCCTCAGCATTCTGCCCAGCTGATTGCTTGGCATGGTCTCTCTGCCAGCGTCTCTGCTTCAAAGGACCATGGTGGCCAAAGATTCCCCATCTTTTCTTTAACACCGGTATACACGACCCCCTTTAATCCACTTTCACCACGGTCCCCATACCAGGTTTCGCCACAGCCCTTGGCTAGGAAGACTGGACTTCTGCAATGTCCTGGCCATAGGCATCTCTGGACTCCCCAGGCTCTGGGGATAGTTAGAGTGGCGAGCAGACTAGACATTGCTCAAGGATGATGTCCACCGGCCAAATTCTAAAGGCTGGTCTGCCCTGCTCAGCCTTGGCTCTGTGGACCTGGCCTTTTGCTTACTTCCAAAGGCCAGCAAGATGATGGCTCACTGGGGAAAAAGTGCACGCATGGCGGTGAGCCGGGCGATCTGAGTGCAATCCCTGGGACCCATGCTGTGAGTACCATGCACATGGGTGCCCTCCCCCAAATAAATGTAATAAAAAATTTAAATACACTCCAAAGCTTTAAGATGATCCTTTAGCAAGGTCAAATACTAGAATGGGCGCCATGGTCATTGTGCTAAATTGAGACGCAGATCATGCTGACATTTTGAAAAAAAAAAAAAAAAAAAGGACAACACAATTGTTCCCGGATTCACTTGCTAAGAGCTACCTTCCCTGTTGCCTGAGGTCAGTCATCCACTTACAAGAGTGTTTGCTCCCGGCATTAGGTTGAAGGTTTGCTGGTATCGCTTTGAATTTGAGGGACAAGAATTATTGTCACAGCTGGGCAGTGGTGGCGCTTGCTTTTAATCCCAGCACTTGGGAGGCAGAGGCAAGCGGGTCTCGTTGAGTTCAAGGCCAGCCTGGTCTACAAAGGTAGTTCAAGGACAGCCAGGAGTGTTACACAGAGAAACCCTGACTTGGAAAAAAAAACTGTCACAATAAAGTAGATGATTTCAGCAACAGATATCATTTTCTAGGTGACGCTGCTAATAAACTATGGAATGTTCATCTATACCCCTCTGAGGTGGTGTCACCATTGTTCCTCATTTGTAGAAGTGAAAAGTGAGAGTCAGGTAACAGGAAGGGCACGTGTGTTCTCGTAACTCAGGGTCGTATGCCTGCTTCTAGAGCAGGCCTTCACAAAAGGCCTACACTCTTGGAAGATGATGTTCGTTCCCTCTAGTCATGGGTATGCTCAAGCTGACTTAGCAAGCAAGTCCTTTTCCTGGGTATGTCTGGCCTTCCTCCCATGGTGTCCGAGGCTCCGTGGTCAATGCAGGTGAGAAGTGACCCTCACACCAACAGCCCTCTAGAGCAACTGGGCCTTTTAGATCCTTCTGGGTCTACAGGCTCCTGTTTAAAAGGGGGAAAAGGGGTCCATGTTCATTTTTGTGTTTCACTTGGCTTTCTCTCTCTCTCTCTCTCTCTCTCTCTCTCTCTCTCTCTCTCTCTCTCTCTCTCTCTCTCTCTATCTATCTCTCTTCCGTGAGTACGCGTGGAGGAGGGCTCACTTGTGCGTNCTCTCTCTCTCTCTCTCTCTCTCTCTCTCTCTCTCTCTCTCTCTCTCTCTCTCTGAATCTATCTCTCCACCCATTATTTCACTCCTGTCCTCCTCTTCCTCATTCTCTAATCTTCAGCCCAGGGCCTCCTCAGGCATTTTCTAGGTTCTGTATTGCAGGCCCTTTCCAGTGCTGTGCAAACTAAAATCAGAAAGTTGATGGTTTCAACGGCAGAAATGGGAGACCCACGGTTCTGATGATGAGATACAAAAGCAAGGTGTCAGCCGGATTCGTTCTTCTGAGGTCTGCCAGGAAAGGGCCTGCTCCAGATCTCTCTCTGGCTTGCAAAAGTCTGTCTTTGCCTTTTCATGCCATCCTCCTAGCGTCTTCGCCCAACCCTCCTTCAGAGTGTGTGGTCTAAAGCTCCCCCTCCATAGAGATGCCATTTTAAAAAATGAGGCCACATTCTGAGATTCTCCAACATACGAAAGAGGCATGTATGGTTACATGTTGACAGTTGGCAGCGGTTGTCTTGCCTCATCTCTTCCCACAGTAAGATAGTCCTCCCCAAACTGGGTAACTCATTTTGTGGTTTTGTGCCCAAGCCCTGTGTCTTAGTGCTCTATTGCTGTGGAGAGACACCATGACCATGGCAACTCTTATAAAGGAAACATTTAATTGGAGCTGGCTTACAGGTTTAGAGGTTTAGTCCACTGTCGTCATGGCAGGGAGCAAGGACAGCAAGCATGTAGACATGGTGTACTGGAGAGGTAGCTAAGAGCGCTACATTCAGATCTGCAGGCAGCAGGAAGAGAAACGCTGGGCCTGGCTTGAGCATTTGAAACCCCAAAGCCCACCCCCAGTGACACACTTCCTCCAACAAGGCCACACCTTCTAATCCCCGTCAAGTAGGGCTACTCCCTAATGAGCACGAATTTAAAAATTTATGAACCTATTCAGACCACCACACCTTGAATGCTGGGGATTTACAGTTTGTAGAACCAAGCACAGAAGAGTCAATTGAAAGATTACTCTGCAGAAGCCTGAGTCTCTTTTCAGCCTCCATTACATTTTCATCTGATTCTTTAAATGTGGCTAATTCCAGCTATATCCAAATCCATGCCTGTCTAAAACTCCTTGATCAGTCTTCTGGAGAAACTAAGCAGAGCTGACGTTTCCTGGGGGGGGGGGGGGGGGGGGGGGGGGGGGGGGGGGGGGAGGGGGGACAGGCTAGTTGGTGGATGGACAATGACCTCCTGTCAAAACCATCGTTATGATCATCAGCTGCAATGTTGGGATTGTCATTGAGCTAGCATGGTCTCCGGGAGTACAACCATACTGGTTAGTAATAGCTGAAGTGCTCTTAATCAGTTGTGTGGCTAAAGGAAGGGCTGCCATCAATAGATACTTGATGCTTAATCTTCATGTCACCCTAGTTGTTCTGCGACTCACTTTGTAGATCAGGCTGGCCTCGAACTCACAGAGATCTCCCTGCCTCTGTGCCCCTGAGTGCTGGGATTAAAGGTGGCCACCACCATGCTCAGCATGCTTAATCACTTTTGAGGCCATATGTATGTTAGGAGGATTTCCCCAGCCCTCATGAAACTGCAGATACCTGGAGAACAGGCACCATACCCCATTGTCTTAGTCAGGGTTACTATTGCTGTGATGAACCACTATGACCAAAAGCAAGTTTGTACATGATAAATATAACCCAGAGACAGATACTGGGGTTCAACCTGAAGATCAGAAAAGCAAAACAGCCAGCCACTGGCTCTTACCTCGACCTCAGTCTGAAAGTGGCAATCCGTACTCCTGGAACCCTTAGAATGAGACTTTGTGTGTGAGCTATCTCCTTCTGACTTATATTTCTCTCTAGTGCTGGGTTTAAAGGTGTGCACCACTACCACCTGGTTTCTATGGCAAACCAGTGTGGCTACTGGGATTAAAAGTGTGTGTCACCCCTGTCTGGTCTGTAAGGCTGATCAGGGCAGCTGTTCTACTCTCTCATCTTCAGGTAAGTTTTATTTATTAAAATACAAATATCAAACAACAAGTTAGGAATGGAAGGGTTTCTTTGGCTTGTACCTCCACATCATAGTCCATCACTGAAGGAAGTCAGGACAGGAACTCAAACAGGACAGGAACCTGGAGGCAGGAGCTGATACAGAGGCTATGGAGGAGAGCTGCTTGCTGGCTTGCTTCCCCTGGCTTGCTCAGTCTGCTTTTTCATAGAACCCAGGATCACCAGACCAGAACACCACCCATAATGGGCTGGGCCCTCCCCTATCAATCACTAATTAAGAAAGTGCCCTCCAGCCAGATCTTACTGAGTTTTCTTAATTGAGGCTCCCTCATTTGGGATGACTCTATTTTGTGTCAAACTGACATAAAACTAGCCAGCACACCCATGAATCATCATCCTTCTCTTCTTGTGTCTCTGTAAGGCTTGGTGCAGTATTTGTACACGGTGATAGTTGTTTAGTGGGATTTTTTTTAACTCTTCATATGGGATCAGTGCTAATCAATGGCGCATATGGGGTTTGAGAATCTGGAAGCTTACACAATTCTGGAAACCTCTTTAAGAAAATTGCACGTTCAAAGTTGGATGTAAAAGTGAATACTTGCATGGGGGTGAGGGTGGAGGTCACACCTTTAAATCCCAACACTCAGGAGGCAGAGCAGGTGAATATGAGTAGAGGCCTAGTCTACCCTGCCTCAAAAGACAAAACAAAACAAACAAAAACTCAAACCAAACAAACACGCAAAAAGTGATTGCTGCCTTCTTTGCTCATATTCTCCCTCCTTCTGCTCCTCCTTGGGACATTGGGAGCTCAGTCCGGTGCTCCAGTGTGGGTCTCTGTCTCTATCTCCATCCATCTCCAGATGAAGGTTCTATGGTGATATGCAAGATATTCATCAGTATGACTATAGGATAGG